TAACGTATGTTATTGACCGTTGCTAGGTGGTTGCTATGTTTATTGTGCTACTATAAATCAGCTAATGCACCAACGAGGTGTTAAGGTGACAATATGCACCGTGGTTAGTGCTTATATCTGATATAAGTACTGCGCTTAAATTGCATCATAGCAACTTTCCGTGTTCTTGGGAACGAACTTCTTTTCCAGCGTCTTAACTTTAGCACCGCTAACAAATTCAAATCGCTCACTGTACTCTTGACTCATGGGCTCTACTTACACTTCCCTAATGCCAGACTCAACCTCAGCTTCTTGCCCGGGCGGGATTGATCATCGTCCTCAGCCTCGCTTTCTGAAGTTCACCCATCGACACTTACGCGAAGAGGGCTTAGAGACCTCTTTGCCATGACTTGCAACAGCACGCAAAGCAAGGAGAAACGCCAGCGGGAGCTCCGCACACGAGAAAGCTAGCGCAGCAGAAGACGCGAAACCACAAAAATGCGCGTGTAGGCAACGGCAATTGATGTCATAGCACCTAGCAACTATCAATAAACTAATTATTACACCTTTTGTCGTGCTGTTGCGGTTTACAAGGCCTCAACACCACGAAAAAAGGTGTAATAAAATGTTTATTACCCTTGATTGGTCGCTGCTGGGAAACTACATTCGAAAATGGCACATCCACCCAAATAAGGCGATGCCAGCGGCCCGTCCCCAGGAGCGCTACTCTCGGACGCGGAGTCATGCAGAGACGTCTCAGAATCCCAACCCTCGACTTCCAAACGGAAAGCCTCTGCCATCCGCTCCCTCGATCTGTCAGTGTTTGTACATATACCCAACCCTAACCGCAGTGGATATTCACACCATTCCTTAGTAACCACAGTGGATATTCTCACCTTCTCACCCTCTTGGGTGGGTAGCTGATTTAGTGTGCCATAGCAACGACCTAGCAACGGATAATAAACATTACTAGGAATGCGCATGTGCATATTTTGCCTAGCGCATGCCCAGCAATGCGTAAACAGTCCGACTGAGGCCGCTCCTGCGCGCGCTCTACTGACTGCGCACGAAGCCAGACTTCCTACGAATCTGCGCGCACGGCAAAAAGTGACATTCCCTATTCCATAAGCTTGACTAATTGACATTCTTAAGCGTGACAGACACGTACATATGTATATCGCGAGAATACAACCCAGAGTAGTTGCCTCACGCTAACGCGCTCGGCAACAATGGAGAGCTGGCAAACAGCAGGATTCATCACCCCACCTAGGCCAAGTAACGTACATGCGTGCAACCTGTAATTCATGCGGACGCATAGTGGCCCATGTAGTAGCACAGAGGGTTTTGCACATCTATTTTTAAATTTTATTATGTTTCAGTAATTTCCCCAATATAAGAACATGAAAATGCTGGTTGTTATATAACCTAGGAAATTAATGAGCATGTCACTGTTCCCTTTTTTGGGCCCCCATGAGGTGTAACTTTTCCCCCAAACAATACTAGCGGTACATGTTGAATAAATGGACAAAGGCCAGGGAGCGAGTTAGACTGACTGGGTGGACCGACTGTAATGGGAAATACTTTTTTTCTACCCTATTTGAACTGATACTTGGAACAATGAAGCTGCCAGACAATGATATCGATATGTGAGTTTTTGGGTTAAACACAACATCTGTATGATGAGACATTCGTTTTTTAAATGTTGACCTTTTATGGGGATGTGTTTGTCATCCTTTCGTAGCTCTACATAATTATGATAGGTGATAGGTTCCATAGCAACAGACTCAGCAGCTTTGTATCACTCAACTCGCCCATCACCACACGTCTTTCCTGCTCACTTCATGTTTAACCACTATTTTGTGATATCAGAACTTTGGCTGGCACCAAGAACCTCCTTACGCATATGGTTTATGTGATATTACCACACAGATAACGAAAGTTGTGTGCTACTTCGCCACCTTTTGGGTGGCTCATATGCTCCTAGTATAATAGCAGTGTACCTCATACTCTCTCAGTTTGTCTGTACCTCTTTTAAATATAATGTTCATTTCCTTGACACATTTACACGAAGTCCACAAGTGTAATAGCATCTGCATAATGAGGTGCACAAAAAAGTGTGCATTGCCCGAGCATGTGGTCTGTCACACCCCCACATGTACACTGAAGTGCAAACCTCGGCAAACTGCACATGCGCGGTATATTAGTATGCGTTTACTCGCGGTCTCCCTCTAGTATATAGCTCGCAGAGAGTCTGACACGGGCTAGCTACAGTAGTAGATAGCATGCGAGAGTCGATACACGCCTTTCGTTGTGACTTCTTGTGCCTTCAAAATACACAGAGCTAGCAGACCCGGTCCTGTGCTAAATATAAGCGCATGCGCATTTCCGCAGCGATAAAAATGGCCGACTACGCATTAGCCGTACAATGGTGGAAGCGCTCTAGCTTTGCAACGGAGCGTTTTCAGAGAAAACCGTCTGACCTTCATTGCCCGTTCAGTAGGTGGTATCCTTTGTGAGACGAAAGAACACTCGAGAAGTGAGATGAAGAGTAACAGACAGACTGACAGACAGACAGACAGACCCAACTGCTGTAACCCTCACTGCGCATGCGTGCCGAGGGTTAATTATTATGTATACACAGTGACTGCGGCACTTTTAGGAAAATCGCTTATTTAAAAATAAAGCCAGTGTAGCTCTGAACCCGCTGGTGTCACTATTTTACCTGTTTGTTGCGCGTAGTGGCAGAAATCGTGGTAACAGACGGACAGACAGACCAAGTACTGTAACCCTCGCTGCGCATGCGCGCCGCCGAGGGTTAATTATTACTGTCACCGTCATAGCATTGACCATAGCATCATGATGGAGACTTCAGTTCAACCGCAACAATGTATCTTGTACAATAGAAAAGATTGTATTTCCCTTGATATCAGGGCAGTAATATAGACCAATAAACTCCTCATGGAAGGCAAATGTCACGTCAACATATCTGATACCTATGGCCAGCTGTTCTTTGTTAGATGAGCTGTTCTTTGTTAGATGAAGTGACACATTCATCAAGCATAATTTTTTTGTTTCTTTTTTGTTTTGATTGTTTTTTTTTTGTGTTTATTTTTTGACTTTGTGAATCTTTGTTTGTTGTGTTTGGTGTTTTGTTTTGCTTTTGTTTGTGTGTTTTTTTTGTTTTCTTTCGTTTTTTTGTTTTGATTCTTTGTCGTGTATTTTGGAATTTGTGGGATTTTGGTTGATTTGGTGTTTGTTTGTGACGCGGGCTGGCGGGATGTCCGGGCCATCATCCCCTATTGTGCTCGTTCACCTCCTCCCCTCTCTCTCATGGATTTTCCTGGCCCCCCGCAGAGGGCACAGTCGTTACCCTAACTTCTTTTCGTGTCCTCATTCTAATTACCTCTACCCTCCTTACCTCTGTTCCCTCTCCTTCGCTATTTTTCCGTCCGCCCCACCTCACACCCCTCTTCCTCCACTGGTTGTGCTCTCCACGTCAAGTTTTCACACTTCTCCTCCCCACCCCCCCCATCCCCTCATCCCCCAAATGGCCCCACCTTCCACCCCTCCCTTCCCACATCGTCTCGTCGACTTAACCTTCCTCTCGGCTCCGTAACTATCTTCACCACTATCCTTCGGTGCCCCTGTTCTCTCACAGAAAACGAGACGACACTGCGCCGCCGGGCACGGTCACGCGCATGGCACTGCGCAGGACTTCAACACTGCCTAGGTGAAGTATTAAACATTCAATAGTCTAGCTTGAAAATACGAAAAAGTCCTGCTAACCGAGTAACCAAGAGTACAAATGGAGTGGCACACCAGGCACCAATAAAGGGATTATGTTATGGGGTTGGTGGTGTCAGTGTGCTCAAATCTGTTCATTCATGTATCCCTTTCCATCCCTACATGCCTCTTTTTTTATTTGCAGGATTTTTAATTTACTTGTAATAATATACCGGTGTTATTACTGCTATGATCTCTGTAATATTTATTCTTGGTGTCAAGTCTCGTCATGTGTTCTTGTGTTTCTTGATGTATATTATGTTGTGTCTCTATCTTGTGTTCCCTGAATTTCCTTCTCTTCTTCCTGCTTATTTCATGCCGGTTATTAACCCTCGACACGCATGCGCAGCGAGGGTTGCGGTACTTAGTTCGTGTGTGTGTGTGTGTGAGTCCATTCGCTACATTGGCTTCATTGTATCTATTGCGTTCAAAAGTTATGGCGTGAAAAGCAAGTGAACAAGCCAATATGCAAATTAGCGCAGGCTTACCTCGACTGGGTCTGCTTGCTCTGTGTACCTCGGAGGCACAAGAAGGCACAACGAAGAGCGTGTATCAACTCCCGCATGGAATCTACTACTGTAGCTAGTCCGTGTCAGACTCTCCACGAGCTACTAGCGTGGAGACAACAAGTAAATGTATACTAAAAGCCCAGCCCAACAATTAGTGGTACCGCACGTGCGCAGTTTGCCGAGGGTGTGCACTTTAGTGCTTTTCATTATACACGTGATTGTTCCTGCATGCATACGTATGTCTATACATAAGAGTTTAATGCTTTCTCATTTCAATTGCAGAATTATGACCACAAGTGGATGTAGAACCCAAGATGGGTTCAATGAAATTGGAGAAATAAGTGACCTGCACTTTGACGGGTACTGTGCAGTGGTGGGGAATGTACCAGATCTATTTGTTAAATACAAAGATTGGTATTTGGTGCTAGTGGAGGTGAGTGGAATGTGTCGAAAACTAATTTTGGGTATTCAAAAGGGGGTTCCTGACCACATTTCTGTTCTTGAAACTTCGTGCTATTATCCCAAGGAGCAACCCGAGCTCTAGTTTTACAAATGTTAAACATCCTTGGTGATAAAAGTCTTTTCCTGGAATGCGTCCAAACGCAGAAATGGTAACTGAATGGTGTTTACCGTTACACAAAGTGGCTTTTGTAATGCACCTTTTTGTTAAGGGTTGCCGCTTTCACTACTAGTGAAACACAAGGACCGCGATGTATGAATTCACTGCAGCAGAATTTTGCCAACTGTTGATGCCATAAACCCTTACCAGGGCTTAGTTTATGTCAAAGAGTGCTTTGCTACGTAACACATTGCGGCATGCGCGAAATTATTATACGGTCGCCTCCTAATCAAAACTGGTACCGCTTGTGAGTGAAGCGACATCCTCTTCCTTCACCATCAGCCGGGGCATTCGGTGCATCAACTCCCCCTGGCATGCAAGGAAGGTAGAGTCATTACCGCTTGTCTTCTCTACCACTTCGTTCTTGCCCTGCATTTTCTGGTGCTCTGATCCATCAAGTCATCATTAGAAGCGCTCCACCACACAAATGAACAGGAAAGCTAGAGCGCTCAATGTGAAGCACTCACTCTAGAATAGTTAGACGCTGATTCCTCGGTAACTACACGCCAGAAAAAAGCGTCATGTTTGGTTGAATGCTTAGGAATCCTGATTGACCAAAATTCCAAAAAAACTATAAAAATTTTCCTGGGGAGCATGCCATACAAATGCTTTGCACTCCTAAAACTCTTGGCCCCCAACTTTAACCGCTGCCTGGTTTACCCCCTCCTTGGGCACAATCATCAAAGAAACCCTGGCTTTAGTTGCACGCACCTCTTTGGCAACCCAGTTATCCTGGAAAACAAGTGGATTTTGGAAGACTGTAGGATTTGTGTTGTATGGCATTTGTTTTTGTTTCTCAGGTAAAAAAGGAAGGAGATAGAGATGGGGTTTTACAAAACTACAGAGCAGTTTATGGGCTATGGAAGTATGAAACACAAGAGAAATGTGTGGGAGTTGTGTGTAAAGCTGGAACAGTAAGTAGAGTGTGCATATGAAATGGAATGGACCAACCATTCCGTTCATCAAAACTGAACAACCTTTTCGCTGTCATCATTGGTGTGGTTTTAGCAGTAAAGAAAATTAGAACCAATGAAAAAGCACCAAGTGTCTAGCTGATCTGGTTGGTGTGCATTCACGCAATGTGGCACACTCATTCTCACCTTCGACTTCACTGTCATTGCCTGACACTTTTTCCCAAATGAAAGACACCGCGACCGACCAACCATTGATGGCAGCTGTAGTGCCAGAATAAGCGTCGACTCACACACACACAGACAGACAGAACGACTACAGTAACCCTCGCTTCGCATGCGCGCCGAGGGTTAATTAGCCCTTGTGTCCTCATAGGGTAACCTCGTAGGCTTTTGTTCCACACAAACGCGAACTAGCCCTCCATACAGACTTCATAACGCAGAAGTAACTTGCAAAAAATCAGGATTCAATAAATAAAATCGTACACACGAAAACCAGGCACAAATCAGCCAAAACTACGAGATTCGCCGGATTTGATGTGTGGTACTTTTTTTGTATAAACATGGTATGAATAGCCTCTTGCATTTTGGAGCTGTTTTTGTAGGGGGCATACTGAAACCATTGTGTGTGATTGGGAACAATCTTTACTTTGGCGCCATCTTTCACTTAGGCACCATCTTTACTTTCGGCATTATCATTCCGAGCACAATCTACACCTTAGGCAGTGGAGCAAAATTTCTGTATACACACTCTTACATGTTGCCAGGTGATACACCACTGACCTCACACAGCTTCCATGGACAAAAAAGCTTTCAGAACTCTTACTATGAATGTAGCAGCTTTTAGCGGGTGTTATGAAAATGACACAGCTACTGAAGTTGAGTTGCCGTTCATTTTGAATTCATTTATGCCTACTTATGCCTCATTTCTGTGTATACGGTCACAAATTATGCTCTGTTTCTTTCAGACTTCTCTGCTCTTCCACCAACGGCAGAAGAAAATAAAAAATTTGTAATAGGAGGAGGAAAGTATAACTTGAATCAGAATGAAGGGTTGGTAAAATTCTGTGAGAGGTTGTGTCATTATCTCAGACTGACCATTAGTTCGAATAGTAAGTTTTTTTTTATACTTAACACCCTTAGCTCCTAGATTAAAGGAAGTTGTGTTGTATAATATTATGCATAAAAATTGTTATAAGCCGGCAAAATGGCTGCTACCAAAATTAATGAGGTTCAGATTTCATGATTTCATAGCCTTTGAGGCCATCAGGCATTGCATCACAACTGTGCCAATGAACCCCATACTTACACCATGTCCCTGTTGTTTTTAGTAACATTTCTACTTTTATACTGCCACATTCCCTTTAATTAAATTCGACTTGGACTGCTTACTCAGTGGCATGACTTTTTTGTACTATAAGTTGTGAGTATTGTAATGGTGAGTGTTTAATACTTCACCTAGGCAACAATATAGGGTGGGATCTGTTTATTAACCTTGCTTCATGTATCCCACCCCTATATATATGCCTCTTTTTAAATTTGCAGGATTTTTAATTTACTTGTCTCCACCCTTTTTATATACTATTAGGGAAAGGGGGTGAGCTCACTATAAAAAATAATTAGAGAAAAATGCCTGTTGTAGTCATGGAAATGATGTAATACGCATGTGTACCAAGTTTCATCTTGCCGTTAGCAAGTTAGTAAACCTGTAGTAGGTGTGCTATATACTACCATCACATATTATGTAGGCACACTTAGCCATACTCATTAAGTCTATTTGCATTCACCTGAGCCGAGGAACGGGTTGTGTATAAGTACCACGTACTTTACTTATGGCATACTTTCCTATGGTACATTCAGGTGTATTGAAAGATGTTGTCAGAATGGGAAAGTTGGGAGGACTACAGTAGTGTTTGTGTTTTGTATGGCAAATTTTTTTACACAACATGAAGTGACAGCGGCGCTGTCAGTGTGCGTGTCTGTCATGTGTATGCGACAGTGGCGTGTAATTGGTTAATTACTCAACATTCTTATCAGAGCTGGACGTGCTGAGATAAATATTCATGAATTTACTCTCCCACCCCCTACTCTACCCCTTCCACAGGAGTCACCATTACAGTCTGTCTCTCTCTCCTTCCCAACCCCTTCCACAAGAGTCACCACCACAGTTTGTCTCTCTCCCTACTCCTTCCAACCCCTTCCACAAGAGTTACCACCACAGTTTGTCTCTGTCCCTACTCCTTCCCAACCCCTTCCACAGGAGTCACATAGAATTGGACACCTTTTGTTGCATTTGTTTGTTTTATGATGATGTCATTCTGAAATAGTATGCGGAAAAATTCTGGTCACGTAATTCTACTAGCCAAGACGTCTATATCCAGTCTCATTCTTATTCTCCCAGTCCAGCATGAGATACGGCCATTTTCATATTGACCAATCACATTTCTGCGGAACCCTTTGATGAGGCGTGGTGCTATGGAGATTAAGTTTTCACGTGGCGTGCGTGAAACTCGAGGAAGATATGCGCAGCCAGAGGCCTCACTATGCCACCCAAAATGTCCCACAAGAGGGAGCGAACGCTCGTCAGGTTGGCAGAAGAAATGAGGGAGCAAAGCTGTACCCCACGGCCGCTGAAAACCTCTAATTCTAATCGAGTGTGGAGTGGATGTACGAAGTATGAAAGCTGCAGATATGCGTCGTGTTTTGGGAGAGATGCCGGATTTCAAATACGAGAAGACAAAAGTGTAAAAAAACCTTTGCAGTCGAGGACACAGAGTTATTTTTATTCCTCAATTCCACTGTGAGATTGAACGCTGCTGGGGACATGCGAAGCATTGCACCAGACAACACTGTGATTATACATTCCAAGGTTTAGAACGGACGATTGAGAGGGCACTGAACAATGTATCTGTCACCCTCATACACAAGTACTTCAGAAAGTCAGAGAGATAATGCGAGCCTATCGAGAGGGACACACCCCAGGTCAAGAATTGGAGCTTGTACTGCAAGTCACATCAAAGAGTGTCTCTTACTGAAAGTCATTGAGGTATTTCTTACATTTTTCTGGTACTTTTGTTTAGCTTATTATTAAATTTTTTTCATTGTACTTATTATTATGGCATGGGTGTCTCCTTCTTTTAAAAAAATTGTTTTACTTAAAAAATCTTTATCAAATGGATATACTGGTAAAAAAAATAACTTGTTTTACTTAAAAATCTTTAACTCATTCGGGACGGGATTGCTAAGCGCATTTCGTACGCGCAAATCGCGTGCGTAATATATAAATCATTTCACGCGGACGTACGTGCGCGCCTGCGCGGAAAGCGCGTTGTCACCGCGTGGTCAGAAGACACTACTCTCGCGCAGCAACCGCCAGTTGGACAAGTTCCATCCTTTAGGAGAGCCTCAGAGGTAAGCTTAGCTACTTGTTTCTCGTATGTAGCTAAGAATCATGTCATATATGCGCGTAGGTACAGGTAGGAACTAGGGCTGGTAGAGAAAGTACATGTTGAGCTAGCTATATGAAGTTATTTCAGGTTAGGCCGGGTGTGGTAGGTATGGAAGCAGTCACCCAAGCACAGTGCTGGCTTTTCAGAGCATGTATGCAGAAGGGTTTTCACCAGTGCTCTTCCCCCCACAGAGCCAGCGGTCACTGCACACACGGCAATCTCGCCTCTTCTTGCCTTGATCGGGAAGTGTCGCCCACGAAGGCCTCTCCAACTTCGGTCCATCCTTTGGTACCCCAACTATCCTCCTGGACAACCCCTTGGCACAGCTGAATGGCCAACTCTCTCCTGAAGTCTTTCAGACATCTTGCGGGAATTACTGGTATGGACTTATAGAGCACATGTGCATTGTTGACTGCAACTCCACATCCAAAAAATACTTTGCGCCACCATGTGATGGACTTTCTCTCGAACCATAGTATGCCATCATTGATTCCATCTTGTCAACACCGTTCATGTGATGGTTATACTCATGTACCACCTCAGGAAGACGTTTGTTGCCAAACACCTACAAGAGGTATGAAATTGCTGTTTGTACACTATAGTAGTGGTTCTATACACCTGTTTTGTAGACATGTCCTTATATGTATGTACTTCAACTAACATTTTAACACAACTTACCGGTGGACATGAACATCAACCATTTTGTTGGAGTGTCCATTCCATTACCACCATCTTCCCCTTGTGGTATGTGTTCACTTCTCCCTTCTTCCTTTTCCTCTTCTGTTTCAGAGCTTGTGGCATCTCTTTCCTGTTCGCCATTGCTGTCCCAGTGAGTGTGGTTTTGATGGCAGCAAGTTCCAGAGCAAGTGTGGGACTGGTGTAAAATCTGTCCGTGTACAAGTCGTACCCCATATTCGCGATTGGCTCCATCAGTGTGAGTACAACTTTTGGTAGTGTGGTTTAGATCCGGCCTGTTTATGAGTTCCGTCTCACTTCCATAGTAAATCACAACCGAATAGAGGTATCCAGTGTCGCTGTCCGATAAAACATACGCCTTTATCCCCCAAGGTGTAGGCTTGCCTCTTATGTACTGCCGGAATCGTACACGACCTCGAAAAGCTATCATGGCTTCATCAATTGACACAGATTTCGATGGCGTGAAAAATCGCTGAAACAAAGGAAGAAGGAGATCAATGAAGCTCTGAATTTTGGAGCGCCTTGTTGGTCCATTTATCTCTCCTACGTGCAAGCTCCAAAATATCTGCAAAAATCTATCTCTTGAAAGCACGCGCCGAAAAATGGGAAGTTTAGAGTCTCATGTCTGGACCAATACTCCCTGACCTCAGGAATCTGCACCAACCCCATGTTGAGAATGAGCCCAACAAATGCTTTCATCTCAGCTACAGTAACATCCACCCATTTCCGAAAGAGAGAGCGTCGACTAGGCCGTGCATTTGACATACGATGGTGTGCATAGGCGTTGGTCTGCTGCACTAAGTACATCCATATGCTGGCATTGAAGAATAGCTGTAGGTATTCCAATGCTGTTGCATCCCTTTGCAGAGGAATTTGAGGACCGGAGTTGGCCGAGAAAGGTGGGGTAGATGGAGCTGGAATTTCACCTATGGTTAAAAATATTTTCCCAGGTCTCTCTGACACAGATCAGCTACATATATCATTTCGTAAATGCATTCAGTATACTATACCTGCAGTCTGTCTCCAAACAGCATCATTCATATCTTCACTTTCTTCAGTACTATCATCTTCACTCTCTTCATTTTCACTAACTTCACTATCACTCTCTTCCTCTATATCTGACCAATTCGCGAGTACTTCCTCCGCCTCCATTTCCTACCCGACAAAGAACGGGAGAGATCGCGGCTGCTCACTGCGCACGCGCGATCAAAGTTGCCGCCGCCCCCTGACCTTATGAACTCTGCTAGCTAGCATCAGTAGCTCCCAGGTGAACACGGCTGACTGTTGGATGGCGGTAGGCACCCGGTAGGACCGGCGAAGGACCCTTACCAAGGTAAAAGTTTGCATGTCTCAGCATGTGAGACAGTCGTCCGCTCGCGTTAACGTGGAATGTCTCAGCGTTTGAGACACTCGTCCGCGTGCGTGTACTTAGTGTGTCGCAAACGCTGAGACCGTCGTCCCGAATGAGTTAACAGTTATTACAAATAAAAAAAACTTGGTATAATAACCAACAATTGTATTCCCAGTATATGCATAGAATTTGAGCAACATAGGCATGCATAACCATGAAAAAATAGTTTGAGTCCATCTGTACTGAAGCCCTACAAGTAAACATCTCTATGGCAACTGAAATATGCATATACTTCCTAGCATCTGGTGGCAATTATCAGCCCAAAAATATTTAGGTTATGTGGAATAGAGATACACATTACAACATCCAGTTACTATGATTTGCCAAAGGATTATTTCACATGATGACTTACCCTTCCTTCTTCATACATACAGTATGCGTCAAAAAAACTTTTCCACTATTGTTCAACACAATACCGTTTGGTTTCGCCGTATTCAGCAAAAAACCGAACGGAAACCGTGCGCAACGCCGTTCTATAACGTTTCGTTTCGTTCTTGTACGGTTCCGTTCCGTTTCGTTTCGTTCCGCGGAGTACCGCACGGAGTCCAAGTGCCGCTTTTTTCGCCGAAGAAAGCCAGGCTCGCTGGAACACCTTCCGCTTCCCAGGCGCGCTTCGTGCTCTAGGCCGCCTCCTCACGACTAGGAGAAGCCTTGGGACGCGTTTTTCAAAAGTGGGCATAGCCCCCAGGCCGCTAATCGCTCGCGCGTTCGACGGTCTCTGCCGGCACAGTCAAGGCGCATAAACGAAACGAAACGGAACGATTCACTAGGCAAAACCGAACGGTACCGCTGGCAAAAACGGCAAACGAAACGAACGGTAATTACCGTTCCCAGGAACGGAACGGAACGATAATGGAAACGTTTTTTTGACTCATACTGTATGCATGTTCTCAAAGGAGACTCTTTTCAGAAAAAGTGCCAGGGCAGTGTGCATTTAAATGACATAAGAAATAAATGTATAAAATCACCAACTACAGTTAATACTTAGCATAATATGGCAAGCATTATGCCCAAGTCCAAATTTCAGGTTTTCAATTTTGTCAGACGCGTGGCATCTTATGGTGAAAAACACTGACATGACGCGTGCACGCCAGTGTAGCCAGCCGGCGGGGAGTGTGCACGATCGATTGCAATACAAGTAAACCATCTATATGGCAACTGAAATATGCTTCCAGGGTACTTCCTAACATCTGGTGGCAATTATCAGCCAAAAAATCTAGGTTATGTGGAAGGGAAATAGACACAATAGAACATCCAATTACTATATTTGGACATTATAAGTAATTTGCACTATAGGAATGAACAACAGTTGAACATGTACATATCATTTGACCCTTGGCGTGCATGCACAGCGATGTACTAGTTAGTCTGTGTGGGTGTCCACTGTTCCCCGGCTATGAAGTGACTAAGCATAGGACTTTAAAAGGGTGACATGTTGTTATCTCCACTAAACATAGCCTCAGAGCAATGGAATTCTAGCTAGCAAAAACTGTATTACTTAATTTAGGCCTGTACCCTAAATTCCACCTTGTTTAGAAAAAGCAGTAGACCTGACAAACGCTCAACAGAAAGCCAATATGCCATTATTGCAACAACTTCCTATCTAGAAGACCCAACTGGTAGGGTAACCCTTTTCTATCTGAGATGGGCTCGTACCGACACTAGGGAAAGTCTAACAACGTGGTACGCTTCTACAGGACTTGTGATATATTCCGGCAATGTACCTCAAGGACATGAATACATACACACTCTGTCTTCGCTACAGACATGACAGGGGGTTTGGGCTTGCTTTGCGAGACTATAGCCAGGCAACAGCGGGCATCATGGATGCTAAGCATGACTGATCTGAGTGAGACATGCGAATAATAAAGCACTGGCAAATTTCTGGAGCATAATTAAATATTTGCAGAGCATAATTTGAATAAAATTATATTCATAATTCCCAGATTTTGGAGCATAAAACTGTATGGTAGTAGTCAAAACGACACTCTCCATTCTTCTATAAAGAAGGAAGGCAGTGAATGTAGGTTGAAAAGTATAACAAACTAACACACGGAATGCAACCTTCCTATGAGTTACACTAATGAATCAAAAAAAAGCTTGTAGGCTTCACACTCTCACAGAACAGCCATTGGGTATAATGAAATCTCGTGTATTATGGCACCCACAAAATTTGTAGCTCACCAGTAGCAATGTCGAGCAACATCAGCCTCCGTACTACCTGTGCTGTGACAGCCACAAGCTAGCTGTCTTATGTACACAGGCATTACTGGACAGTCTTTTAGGCTCAGTGCTACATACCTACAACCAGCAGTATGTGTAGTGTTCTGTGCCACCCACCAATTACAGTAGAAAGTAATGTCATTCAATGTCTGCCATGTGTGTAAGTACACATCTACACCACTGACTCTGATGGTGATCAGAGTGTGTAGAAAGACGTGTATACGATAGCCTTGTCCGTAGGCTCAGGAGTGTTCAGGCGTAAGTTTTGGGTTTGGAAAAGTAACCCTAGGACGAGGCTTGGCTGTTTTGTTTGTATACAGCATCGCCAGACTCATTGGATATGGACATGCAGCAAAAGTATCTGGAGGCCACAGAATTCCTTGGCAATTATAAATGCATGTGCATACAGTCTGCACAAGGCTCTTTTCCTCTCCCACAAAAGAGGCTGGGGACGAGGCTAGTGCATATGAGTGTGTATGTCTACTGCGTCGGCAACCTAGCCACAATCACCCATACATACCTGAGAGCATGTGCTATATAGCACAAAGCCCTTACACATGCAAAATAGGACATAATATGGATCCAGACAATGAGACTTGCGATGCTGTATGTGTGGGCCGGAGCTGCCACATGCAAACTCTATAATAGATGAAAAGCACTAAAGTGCAAACCCTCAGCGAACTGCGCATATGCGCGATACTGCTAATTGATGGGCTGGGCTGTTTTTATTCCTGGTCTCCCGCTAGCAGCTCGCGGAGAGTATGACACGGGCTAGCTACAGTAGTACTAGCATGCGGGAGTCGATACATGCCATTCGTTGTGACTTCTTGAGCCCCCAAGGTACACAGGGCGAGCAGATCAGGTCGCGGTAAGCCCAGTGCGATTATGCATATTGGCTTTTTCGCTTGCTTTCACGGCATATCTCTCGAACACGGTCGTTTCAGGAAAATCGCCTAGTTCTGAAGCCGTTAGTATCACTAATGGGCCGCCTCAGTAGCCTGTAGTGCCAGAATAAGCGTCGACACACACACAGACAGACAGACAGAACGACTACTGTAACCCTCGCTGCGCATGCACGCCGAGGGTTAATAAAGACCCACACTAGGGCTCTCCATAGTGTCTGCAGGAGTTATTGGGCAGTGACAGGACAGTAGTAGAGCTGTTGGTTGACCCAGGAACCTTCTCCTGCTGAATGGAACCAGAGAGACGGACAGACAGAGATAGAGGTAGAGAGAGGAAAAGAGGACGAGAAGGGAAAGGGAGAGACGAGCAGGTCAGTCAAGTCCCCATGGTACAAATGGCAACGGCTATTAAAATTTCACAGTTTGGTTGATAAAGTTGGTTGTTACTTTGAATATTTCGTGATAAAGTAACAACCATAAAGCATGCAAGAACTGCTATTTCAGGGGTGTCCTTCGAGAGGGGTTCCACTGTACTACTATTGAGGGTCCTAATGTATGATGGAGCTTCAAGTCCTCATTGACCCAAAAATCAATTTTTAGGACAAGAAAGCAAACATATCTATGCTTTCTCTGACTTACTCCTTATTCTTTGTTCTTCCAAGCCTTGCTTGCTCAGCAACACACTGAAAGAAACAGGAGAAAGAAAGCATGAGAAAGTATACATTATAGCTTATATCATACCGAAGGCTAGTTGTCTGAATTGCACGGTTTTCCATAGTGCAGTACTTATCGCATATAAAATACACACGCACACACATTCACTCGCCAACAATGATTGATCTAGTACAGAGCAAACCACCAATTATTACCACTCTCAATTATCCAACGGCTACGGCAACACACCACAAACAACAACAGTTTCTTGTCTGCCAGTTATCATGCTCCTACATCTCAAAAGCATACGCCTGCGACACTCGGTATAAAATTTGGACAGAGAGCTTGCATTTGACAAGGTAACATGTCAGTGGATTCAACGAATGGTTGAGACTCACCAGAGAATGGGACTGTGATCCTGCAGGATTGATTAGCACACAAACCCTTATTAGCATGACATGCTGGCATAAGGCACACTATAAAAACAGACCACATGCAAGTGTGCCCAGATGTACGTATTCCCCCTTCCCTAAATATGGCTACCAGTCACAGAGAAGAACTGAGAAGTGCTTTTGGTATTGAGGTCGAGAGAGATGACATCAAACAGCACCCCACACATTTCTGTAATAGCTGTTACCGAAAAATGAAGAGTGTGCACACATAGAGCGTCATCAACACCATATGCACCGACTCTGGAATTATTCAAGTGGACACCCCACATGACGGAAGCATGCCCTGTGAGAAAATTAACCTTACTGCATATACAATTGCGCGATACATAATACACAGGTATGCGACCATTTCTGCAAGCTTGCACGTGGAGGTAGGGGGAGAAATACGTGGCGAGAGGGAGACCAAGAGGACTAACGCCAAAGGGGTAAAAAGGCAGGCTTACCAAGGGGGGACTTTTGTGGGAAACCATGTGCACAAGCTTCTAAAGGTAAATTGCCTATGTACATCATGTGTTGAAAGTCAATGTGCACAACAGCCCAACAGCATTGAACACATCGGAAACAAAATACTGAGAGAGGGACAGGAAAGAGGAGAGAGTATGGAGAAAACAGTGAAGGGTGTTATTTAAAACAAGCCTAAAGCTATTCTCTCGGTGTCACAACATCTACAATAAGAAACTTGTGTCAGAGGACGAGGTTTCAGAGTTAGGTATGTATAATTTTACTGACAAATCCCTGTAGGTGAGAGTTGTATTTTTTAATTATAGAAACCAGCATACATCAATTCCTTGACCACTACAGGACCTCATTCCCCCATGCAACAGTGATACCAAAAATGCATCTCCTAGAGGATCACGTGCTTCCGTGGCTGAGGCAATGGAGGTGTGGCTCGGGATTGATGGGAGAACAAGGAGCCGAACAGATTCACTCGCACTTCCACTACTTGGAGAACTCCTACAGAGGAATAAAGGATCCACTGCAGCGACTGAAATACATTATGCACGAACACATGCTGCAAACGGCCCCAGAACTGAACAACCTACAGCCCTCAGTCAAAAAGAGGAAGAGTTGCTGAGTCCGAGAAACGTTATACATAGTTAACTTACTGAGCACGTCCTGTCCCACAGAAAAAATGCACCGTCTTGACTTGAACTGTCCCTTCCAGAGATGGGATTAGACGTTCTCGCAGCACAGGCAAAAGCGCAGGAAAAACTTCACGTGGGTAGAAAACCGGCGTCTAATACGAACAACTCCGCTGCCGAATGGACACGTGTTACTCAAAAACCACTTGGGCTAACTTCACCGGACAAAGACGGGGGCCACTACTGGGCCATGTGCTAGGGTTAAAAAGGTCGAATGGAGTGTGTTTTCAAATCGGGAATAGGGCCAAACATTCCGCCTGTAAAACCGTTGCTAGGACGTTGCTACGGACATGTTTGCAGGGAAAACATTTCGGGGGTGTGTCTGAATGTCCGCGAAAAATGTATTGCGTGAAACACGCGTGCGCGCGCCGGGGGGGGCCGGGGGGTGCGCGTACGCAGCAGTCTTTGCCCCGCCCACCACCTCTGTTCGAATGCAAGGAGAGAAGGTCAATACTGCTAGAGTCTGGCCTCGCTAGACTATTTATCCGCACGCAGGGGAGTTAGTGCAGTCCTCGTCCGTATCTGGTGTGATTGGATCTCAGATGGCTGTAAGTCTATATTGGTACGTTTGAAATTTGTGAGTAGAAGGTGTGGTGAATCACACAAACGCCTTTCACTGGCAGGAGCGCCGAGTAGGCAGTTGTAATGCTGTAGCGGACGATTTCAAGTGTGAAAAAGGCGCTTGGGATTCATCCCAGTAATTTTTTGGATGTAGGATAGACTCACCAAACACTATCCCTGCAGATGATTGTATTGGACAAGATTATGATACAAGTCCACGAGTTTGCAAGTCTCCTGGTATGTGGGAAATCCCCTTTTTTCACGCGTCCACACTACACATGCTCTGTTGCTATATAATTATTTATATACCAACTCTTGTACAAATGCACACACTCTCCCTGCAGATATTAGAGTAATCAGTGAAAACTGTGGGGATAAAATTGAGAATACAAGTCCTTCCCAAGTGTATGTGTCATTTCAACCTCTCTCTCCCCCTTTCACACACAAATCATACCCACCTACTCACTCACTCACTCATCACACACAAGTGCATGCTTTGTTTCACACTCAAACACAGTCTTTTACAAATGAACACACTCTCCCTGCAGATATTGGAGTAAACAAAGAAGACTGTGGGGATAAAGTAATGCTGTACTACGGAGTCTACAAGTCCTCCCCAAGTGTACGTGTCATTTCAACCTCTCTCCCCCTTTCACACACAAATCATACCCACCTCCTCACTCACTCACTCACTCATCACAGAAATACACACACGTCATCTCTACACATACAAAACACACACCCTCTCCCTGTGTAATTATACACACGTGTATAATTTGCAAAACACACACAAACACATGTACATGCTTTGTTTCACACTCAAACACTCACACACCTTTTACAAATGCACACACTCTCCCTGCAGATGTTGGAGTGAACAAAGAAGACTGTGGGGATAAAGTAATACTGTACCACGGAGTCTACAAATCCTTCCCAAGTGTACGTGTCATTTCAACCTCTCTCCCCCTTTCACACACAAATCATACCAACCTACTCACTCACTCACTCACTCATCACACACAAACAGAAATACACACACGTCATCTCTACACATACAAAACACACACCCTCTCCCTGTGTAATTATACACACGTGTATAATTTGCACAACACACACAAACACATGTACATGCTTTGTTTCACACTCAAACACTCACACACGGTCTCTTACAAATGCACACACTCTCCTTGCAGATATTGGAGTAATCAGTGAAGACTGTTGGGATAAAGTAATGCTACCATTGAGAATGCCAGTCCTTCCCAAGTGTACGTGTCATTTCAACCCCTCTCTCCCCCTTTCACACACAAATCATACCAACCTACTCACTCACTCACTCACTCACTCATCACACACAAACAGAAATACACACACGTCCTCTCTAAACATTAAAAAAAACACTCTCTCCCTGTCTAATTATACACACGTGCACAACACACACAAACATACTCATGCTTTGTTTCACACTCAAATACTCGCACACGGTCTCTTACAAATGCACACACTCTCCCTGCAGATATTGGAGTAAACAAAGATGTTAGTCTGATTTCACCTTTTGAGTTATTCCACTGTGTTCCTCTCATATCCTTTCTGCCCACACTCTGTTGTACCATTTTCTTAAACTAAGGTGTCACTCATCAACACAAATTTGCATACACCCAATATCCTCTTGCTACACTTTCAAGATGTCCCTTTGCAATATATTTTGGACAGTATAACATACGAACTGTATCCAGTCATCTGTTTTCAGGCTATATACAATTTTTCTGCAGTTAGCGCAACCCTTTGAAAAATAAACAAGCTTGTTCAAGCTGGTCTAATGTATGGTCCAAGTTTAAAACAGGCATGGACAAGCCTGATCAACCGTAGGTCAAGCGTAGGTCAAGCATGTTACAAGCTTGCCCAACTTACAAGACTTAAACAAGCTTGTTATACAGTACAATATGAAGCCTGTAACAAGCTTGTGTGTGATTTGCACATGCTTGGATGAGGCTTGTATCAACTGAACAAGCTTGTGTGCATGCTTGGAAGAAGCTTGTGTCAACTGAACAAGCTTGCAACAAGCATGTAAAAGCAATACAATATGTATAATTAACCAAGCATGTATATACAACCCTATAGTGCAGGCTGAAAACATGCCTGCATAGAGATGGTAGTTGAGACTTTTTGCTTGCTCTGCATCATATCGATAGGTGCACAGAAGTACAGGCATATCAGGCCATGCATTGTACTTAAACGGCAGGTATGAATCTGAGAGAAAGTCCGTACAGCGCATGATCTAAGGCGGCGTATAACCAGTAGAATTAAATTCAATATCATTAGGGAACTTGGCAATGTATACATATCCATAAGAATGCAATTACTGTGATTATTTGAACAGTTTTAATTTAATCTGACTCAATACAATTAGGAAAATTTGGCGACATACACATCATATGTGTCACTAAATGACATAAATACAACCTTACTAATGATTTGCATCTATGGGTACAATAACAATAGGGCCAAGAACTTTATTACAAGCAAATACATGATGTACAGAACCAATGGGACGTACATTGATCAACTGTTGAACTATGGCATAATATTTATGATTAACACAATGTGAAATATGATATAAAAACCAAAAAGTATCCTTTGACAAATTCATATATATGAAATGACAGCGTTGTTGATTTTTTCGGGCCTTTCATAATGAACGGAGTGGTACATGACATTATTAATTTTTAACCTATTGTATTTAGAATGCTGTTAATACGTGATGATGTGTAATGCTCTAAAAGTTGAGCCACTAATGGGTCAATTGGTGTCTCCCCAACTGGACCTAAACAATTCTATTCCATTGTTCAATGGAGGAGAATGTATAATATCGTTAAGATATTCCACCTGAACACTCCTGTGTTGCGCCAGGTGTGCATATGCTTTGAAGTGAAGTAAATGTATTTGTAAGTTGTAAGTCTACTCCATGAGTTGAATGAACCATTTTAACCAAGAGCCCATTTGTGTCCTCATGGTTCAAAACAAGAAAGAAAATGTATGAAGAGGACACCAAATTTGAACACTGTGCGATAGGTGTACAAGTTGATGCAGGTTCAGTGTCAAGTATCGTTCGCTATAGAGAGAAGCAAATAGATAGTAGAACCGATGAGTAGTAGTTATTGCTTATTCAAACGGAAGTAGATATAGTAGTAGAGTTTAATATATATATTCCGTGGCAAAGAGGCTACAGTGCTCAAATAGTTCCGTAGGTAATAAACCATCATAACGGGCAGAGAATAATAAAATAAAAAGGCACGGTATTCTGACGCCTTCCAGTATTTCCGTTCAGTGTTAAGCTTCGTGGCGTACGCGTAATTGTTGATGGTGGTTTAATAGATAGCAATTTTCTATCGCATCAGCTATTTTTTGGAGCAAGACCACAGGTGAAGGGTGATGGCTGCTGTCGAACCAAAGATTGATAAGTAGTCGTAAATATTAAGCAACACACAGTGCATATAGTCAATTCCTACACCATCAACTATATTGAAATGCCGTAGTGTCTGCAGAAAGAGCCAGGTGGATTTATTCCCTCCTTCTTATCCCACTTCTGTACATTTCCTGGAACTTCTCACATTTTTTGGTGTTCTTAAAGGGCCTGTCGGATTTTCGCATACATACGGACTATACGTGCACATGACCCCACTCCCTAACGATAGGTTTGCCAGGTGCTCACAATAGGGATGCGTAAAAGCCATATGACCAACCATGTTAATGCCATTGATTTGCGGGCAGGTCACAATGTTACGGTTAAAACTATTGCCTTACACATAAATGGTGATGAAGTTCAGGTGGATGAACCTGCACACCTTCTGCAAATATTTCTTTCATACCTGACATAGAGGTTTTAAAATGTATTTACAGATGGATTTGTGGTCCCGAACCATGTCCAGCAAGTATTTTATTATTAAGCCCATTTCGCATCCTCTGTGGTAGTTCATTTAGTAGTGCTCATATATAGGGTCTTCGTATAGGTAAGACGGCAGATTCGAGTGTCTTCGTGGTTGCTAAATGCCCCGTGGGAGGTTGGGATGACGCAAGTGGTCACCTCGGCTCCGCCCCTGGTTACTATTGCGCATGTCACCTCCATGCGGGCTAGTAGAACCACAAGACACTCGAATCTGCCGTCTTACTGTTGAAGGTTAAACAGGGATGGATAGCCGTACGGCTGGCTTGTAGCGTCCGCCTTCAACCTTGGTTGTGTGCAGCTCTCTGTGAATGAAAGATCTACCGGGAGGAGAGTTCTCCCAAGCTATACGGGCGCATCCACGATTGGTACGTCGATGCCTGGTAAGTACTGCACTATTAGCGGCGCGCCGTCTTAAACTTTCTTCTCACGGTAGCCCGGCAGGGGAGAGGCCTCTGCCGATTCTCACACCGGTGCAAACCTTCTGTCTAAGAATTCGTCGACGATGACTGAGAAATTACATGTTATTAGCAGCATCCGGCAAATATGTTCGCATCAGAGGCCTTGTCTGAGCAGTCTCAGCTCTACGTGATCGTCGCTCTGACGCCCGGTCTGCGCGTACGTGTAAACTGGAGGAGTCCTTAGTTAGAACAGACAGCCTAACCGCATGTGTCTCTATCGTCTAAGAGACCTGCGAGTAGCGTCTAGCCATATAATGAACCTCATTAGCTAGTCATCTTCAAAGCGATTCTTGACATACCATTTTCTTAACTATTTTGTGGTCACTCTCATCAACACAAATTTGCATACACGCATTGTCCTCTTGCTACCTTTCAAGCTGTCCTCTTTGCTAATATATTTGGACAGTATGATCATACGTAAACTGCTTATCCAGTCATCTGTTTTCATCAGCAGCTATATACAATTTCTCTGCAGTTAGTCGCCCAACCTTTCCGACACCGCCTCTTTTATAATACCGACTGAGCTAAGTGGCCAGGCCACATCTTTCTGTATGTAAATCGTCATTAATATGAACCACCATATATATTATGTTCCACGAGGTCATTACTATAAGTGGTTGTCTATGCATAAATCCGCATGCAGAGACGCAAGGGTTGTCGCTACCTTCTTCTGAGAGCGATCCACGGACAGACCAGGAGATGTGGTCCTGACCTCTGGCATGTCAGTAGGCTGATGGAAACCCTGACTAACCCTGGAGACCAGTCCTATGACCGAGGAAACTGTCGCTGATCAGCTGACTCAACATGATGGTCACTGATCTCTCCTAACATAAAAGGTTGCGTACAAAGTATTGTCGTTTAGTTGTGTGCTCTGCTGTGCAGCAGCTATGTCTTCATCAATTCATCGCAGCTTATTAATGCATACTATTGTGACTTGCCGTGGCCGGATCAAAGGTAGCCGCGCCGATACTTTATTTTCCCTCCGTATGTATGCAGCAAGCACTCTTCAATATCACTACGTTCAATATTATGCTAGCAGCTCATCAGCATCATACCATGCATAGTGTGTCGACAAAAGAATAAAAAACTCGTGTTCTGGATTGTAGAGGCAGTTAGAGGTCTGAGGGATGATCTGTTCGGCACTCCTACACTGGCTGTAATTTTGATAATACTGGCCGATTTTCGTTAATAAGTGCCTCCTGCGTTCAGAAGTTATGCGCGTGAAACCTAACGTGAACAGAGCTTATATTGCCATTAGTCACTAGCTTACCTCGACCTGAGTCTGCTGTGGCTCTGTGCTACCGTCGAGATGGGCACGAAGAAGTCACAACGAAGGGCGCTGTATCGCCTCTCCTCATGCTATCTACTACTGTAGCTAATAGCCTCGGGTCAGACTCTCGCTGCGAGGTGTGTAGGTGATGTAAACGTATACTAGATAGGCCCGCCCATCAATTAGCTGGTTGCCGGCGTCATGCGCAGTTCGTCCGGAGGTTTGCCTTTAGTGCTCAGTCTGCAACATCTCTAAATTGTGTGCGATGTACTCACCAGTGTCTAACATGTTGTGAAGAAGGCAGTGATACAGGAAAGGTTCCTGCATGTTTTCAGTCACTTCATCATTGTATAGTGCTACATTACAGTGGGTCCACTTTAATATCTACAGTAATATCCAGTTTATTAGCATACAAATCTAAAATCAAACCATTTCTAGGCTGTCCCATGACCATTTTACTCCCTTTTTATACAAGTAAATATCACGACATGTGGGTGGTCAGGGACCACATGGACACAATGTCATATCGCATCTGACCAAGTTTCATCTCCGACTTGGAGCGCGATATCTTGTTAGCAAGTTGAGGAGTGAGGTGAATAAGGTGTGCGTCACCAGGTTCCACCTCATGCGTGCTACAGCTAACTGAGTTTGAGGATGTGAAGAGGTAAGTAGTATTTTAAAGAAAAGTGCCTGAGGCTATTTGTGGTTGATAACGATGTATATACATATGCGTCACCAGTTTCGCCTCCTGGGCGTGTTATCAGTTAGCACGTTTGAGGAGTATTGAGTATGTATATTATAAGAAAAGGCTGATGCCGGTATTTGTTGTTGTGGTCATCATCGGTAACACAAAGGAACACGACATGCTGACACCAAGTTTCACCTCCATGCATGCGTATAGCCATGCAGCAAGTGTGAGGATGTGAAGAAGTAGCTTTAAAGATAGTGCCTTGCTGAGGCTTGTCACACAATACTCAGATAGCGTCATCATGGAAACATGTAATTGTCATGGAATGGATATCGGCACGCATACCATAGTTTGTGATCTCTATATGCGTGCTACCGCATTGGAAAGTTGGGCAGAAGTGAAGAAGCT